CCATTATTCCTACAAAGTCTGCTTTCTTTTCTTTCTTTTTAATAGAAAATCTCTGTTGTAAGAATGCTCTCAACACTCCCAGTGTGCTGTAGCACTAGAAGCTATTTGAGGAATTTTCCTGCAGATGTTCCGCCTGCTATCACCCCTTGCTGTCCTGTTTCAGATCACAAGTGTGTTAGAGTTTGCAGTCTTTGCATGCCTGTATTCTCTGCTGCTAGTTTGCATACAAGTAGGAATGTGGTACAATATACGGTATATACTTATGGTGACTTCATGTTTGTTATGTTTTCCCCCCACACCCTCTTCCTTTCTGCATCATGTAACCCATTTTTCTTCCCCCTCCCTCTTTCTTCCATTAGAACATTTGTTTAGTTATGTAGACAAGTTTTGTACATAAAACTATTTTATATGTTTACAAAGAAAATTAATTTGTTTCTTTGTTCTGCTAGACCCTAGGGGGAGCATGGGACTGGATATTATTCAGCTTCAGTTTAAGTACTCTGCTTGAGAGATCCAGAAGTCACAAATAACAAGAATGATTTTTGGTAAATTCACTGACTCTATATATGTAGCATGCATGCTATTTATATATCACTCTTCTACGGAAAGTTTCTTAAAGCAGCTTATTTACCAGGAAAAGATTAGATCATCTGTGTCCTCAGGTTTACAGTGTAAAAGGACATATGACACAAAAGGGAAAAGGGGATTGGGGAGATAGACAGGTAAACTCACGGACAAAGTTATGAGGTCCCTTATCTTGCTGGCAAGGCTGCTAGATGACAGTGGGCAATGGAACTGTCTTCTCAGGGACATTGATGGTGGTTCTGTGCTCTATGCCCATTCCCTTTAACCTTTTGGAATGACTGCTGGAATCCTGAAAGGTTTGTTGCTCTTGTTATGTGCCTTCCAGTTGTTTCCAGCTTATGGTGACCCTAAGATGAACCTATGACATGTTTTTCTTGCAAGTTTTGTTCAGATGGGGTTTGCCACTGCCCACCTCTGAGTCTGAGTGAGTGTGACCTATCCAAGATCATGTGGCTGAGAAGAGATTTGAACCCTGGACTCCTGGAATCCTAGTCAAACACTCAGGCCACTGCACCACACTGGCTCATGGTTATCAAAAGGACCTGAGTACTTTGTGTACATTCCAAAGTCCTAACAGTGCAAGAATGTTATCTTAGAAATAAGCCAATGGTGTAACTTCCCAGATTAGCATGAATAGGCCTGCAGTCTTAATCCCTCCTCTGCTTTTTAAAAAATAGGTGCTTGATAAATATATGGTAAAATTGTAAGAATATTTGTGGACATTTCTGCATTAGGTATCAAAAATAGTCTGACTGCTTTCTACCTCAGAAAGCATGATGTTTGGGCTGGCCCTGAGAAGAACAAAAAATTGTTCTACCATGAAAGCCCCACAAGAGCAGCATCATGGAGGACCTGTGTGACTACACTGGACTATCTGGATAATTGTCCCCTTTCCTTCCATAATACAACCATGGCTCACCACCACAGCACAAGCCAAGTGGTTTTGTCACTACTTGCTTTGATATGAAAATACAGGTTCATAGTTTCCTCCAAGCAGTCAGAACTAGTTCCAAATGTGCCATTGAGATCTGTGCATACATTTCTCTTTAACAATGAACTGAGTGAGGAATTGCCTGCTTCCATAGGCATGTGGGAGGTCAAAATCAAGGAAGCAAGCTATTCATAGTTGAGCTTGGCAAGTTAATTTTTCAAGTTATGCAGCCAGACCAATTTTCAGAATCCATGTTTGCTTTGCCAGGACTGGATTTTGCTGAAGAGGGTTTTGTGCTATTTTCTAATGTCATTTTCTAATGTCATTATAAAATAGCACTAAACAGTTGCCTGTTTTTTGCTTTTGACTTTTGCTGTAGGACCAGGTGGCTGCTGTTTCTTATATATAACCTTGGGGATGCGGGTGCTTTGCTTAGTTAGTTTGGCTAGAGTGTAGAATGTGTAGGAGGCCTGAATGTGTAGGAGGCCTGGGATGGTGAGCACATAGCTTGGTAGTGTTTGGCTTAACATAAGGGGAGTTAGGGGGTGTTTAGATCATGGGAATTTGTTGGTGGGAATGTATTGTTCATGCCAATTTGTGGAGGGTGGAATTATGGATTTGGGTTTTGCTTTTTAATATGGTGTTTGGTCCAATAGTGGGCAGTTCCAGCTTAAACATTGGGTTGGTGGACTTCTGGCTTTGTGACTTCAATAAAGTTCTTTGTATTGGTTTACCATACAAGGCTTGTTGATTACACTTAGATTTAGAGCTTCCAGTTTTGAAACCAATCCTCATTTGCTTCAACATCATAAATAAATCTATGCACAGATCTCCATGCCATGTAGCTATGCAAGTTGGCAGATTTTCCAAGTCCAGTTCCTCTTTTAGAAGTCCAGAAAAGAAGTTTTACAAGCCTGAATTGAACCAAGTAGTATTGTATGGCTGCAGTCCACCTCAGTCTGGCAATATTTTAAAAAAGAGATTTGCCTGGGAAAAAGAAGAGACCATGTGGGAATATCTTTTGCTAGTGTCCATCCTCAGTTTTGGCCAAGAGCATTAACATGGGAATTTTGCACCTAACTTTCCCCCTGTCTGATGTCACTAGAGTAGTCAGTAAATGCAGTAAGGGTCTACCAATATTTTCCTTCATAATTCAAGCTTTGATTAGGTTTGTGAAGTCGTAGGCTTTCATGGCCAGCATCCATAGTTTTTTGTGGGTTTTTTTTTTTTTTGTGGGTCTAGAACATGGCCACACAGCCCGAAAAAACCCACAAAAAAACTTTTGATTAGGTTTTCCCAACCCTATCTATCTACTATTAAACTTCCCACCCTTTCCACTGGTCCCACTCCCACATCAGTGTGAAATTTTCCAATGAGCATAGGGACAAGGACAGTACAAAATATTTTGCTACCTGAGACAAAGAACAAAATGGTTTCCCCTACCTTCAGTGTACTCAAACCACATGGAGTGGAGAATAAATCATTTCTTGATGGGACAACATCTTTCACTACATCTAAAAACAACAGGTTAGCTTTGGGGATATAGAGCAGACTGTGTGGTACACAGGTCTTCCGCTGACACCCTGTCCCCAGCATCTGCTATCTAAGGTGACTGTCTAACTCTCCCTGATGTCCCAAGCCCTTGGGAACTAGCAACCGAAATTTTATCCAGAACTGAACACTACTCACAAAATGCAATCACCCCTCCATATCCACAGATTCTGTATCCTTGGATTCAGTCATCCATGGCTTGAAAATATATATATTTTTAAAAAATCCAAAATGCAAACCTTGATTGTACCATTTTATATAAGGCACATCATTTTACTACTCCACTGTATATAATACGACTTGAGCATCTATGGATTTTGGTATCCACAGGAGATCCTGGAACCAAACCACAGCAGATACCAAGGACCCACTGTAATCCAAAAGAGTTACAAGAAAGTCCCACAACGTAGAACAACAAAAGATTTCCTGCTTATATTTCTCCCTGAATTTATTTTCAAAACATTTTACAGACCTAATCAGGAATACCCGAAGTACTCTGAAATTGCTTACATGCTATGGTGGGGGAGAAATAAAATAAATAAAATAAAAACCCAGAGGTTGTTTTGTTTGCATTCTTGGCAATTTGTCAGGGAAGACCTGAAATATTTTTTGGTGTGAAGAATGTTTCTGTTTCTGAAAGAGATTAAAAAGTTTATTTCCCTTTAGGTCTTTCTACTGACACTGTTGCATGCCTGGGAAGTGATTTAGATGGATGGATGAGATAAACACATCCCCCCTTATGAACAGGCTGTGATTTTAATACACTTAAGAACCGAGAGTAGTATATTGTTCCCATATATTTTAACAGCAGCTGGGGAAGCCTCTCCAAGGTTTGACATTAGTGAAACAGTCCAGTCCTTGCAAAATGTTGCACTGCTAAACTGTCACATTGCTACTGTCACATAGCACCTCTGAGGGATGATTTCTAATTGCCTGGTGTCTCCAAATATTTCCTTTGATGTCCTGCATGCCCGCTACAATCCTAAGTTCCACCTTCTGCCTACTAATGTGGTCTTCCAAATACTCTCATTAGCAGGTAAGCAAAGTATTGTGTAAGCAAAATCTTTCTTGCTCTGCATGACAACTTACGAGGAGGAGGAAGCAGTGGTGATGGGGGAGAAGCTTGTCAGGCTAACACAATTCCCCTGTCATTGGTAGTGCATTTCCATGGGGTTGAGCTGACATCCTTAGGTTTATGACTGACATCAAAGGTAATCACTTTAAAAATCAAGGTCTTTCACCATCCAGACAGCTTGAATCCCTAGCCAAACAGAACAGTCTGCTAGGCAACAAGAAAGCTTTGTTGACTTTAGAGGAGAGAATGTGGGGTCTAACACTCACAGAATGCAAGGTGGCAGGACAGTTGTTCTCTGCTCTGCATAATACAAAATAAGATTATTTATCCCATCTTGTGGGAGTATCATGGGTTTAATAAATAGATATTCATAAAGCAGACTCATGGAAATAGGAGGATCTGCAAACTATCATGAAAAATGTAACCTCTCTTTATCAAAGTTTTGCCTCTTCTTACAAAGTCACAAAATAGATGTTTCACCTCATCCAACGTTCTTTAGGAACAGAGCAGTGGAGAGAGCCATCGCAAAAAAGAAAAGCAAATCAAATCAAAGGGTGTACTCACACTGCAGAAATAAAAGAGTTTGACACTACTTTAAGTGTCATGGCTCCATCCTATAGAATCCTGGGATTTGTAGTTAGGTGAGGTATTCAGCTGAGTCTGTCAGAGAGCTCTGGTGCCTCACCAAACTACACATCCTAGCATTCTGTAGGATAAAGTCATGGCAGTTAAAAGGATGTCAAACTGCTTCATTTCTGCAGTGTAGAGACACACAAAGAGGCCTTAAAGGTATGAAACAAAGAAGGCCTATGGCAGGGAGTGGGGAGGAATGTGCAATTTTCCATATATTGTTAGACTAAAACTCCTACTGGTACTGACATAACCAACTGGTGTCTGCAGATCTCAGGGCTGGATCCTCTTCTCTTGTCTTCAGGGCAAGGGGACAAAATATAAGGATGAGAATGCTACAGGTGAGCATGTTTAGGACTAGGGTGTATTCCTGTGACATCATAAGGCATAGTTTCTAAATGTCATTTTTAGCTCTTAAAAATGTCATTTTTAACTCTTAGGGCTGAGGGTAATCCTGATCTGACAACTCTATAGCCAGTCAATGGGCAAAGATTGTTGTGTGCACACAATCTAGCAACATCTGGAGGGCCACATTTTTCCCATCCCTGGACTAAGGTTTTCCACAGACCATCAGTTCTAGAAGGAGCAGGGCCTTCCAAACAGCTTACTTTAGGCTATTGTGCCAGAATCTACTTGTGAGTGGTAACTTCCACAGAATTTGGTGAAGATCTCAAGAGCTTATTAGAATATGGAACTAGCCACAAGCTGCTCAGTCCTGTACTAAAGCTTTCTTTTCATCTTCTCAGGATACAGCTAGTTACCATGTCACAACCTCCAACTCTCTTAATTTGTCAGGGACAGTTCTTATTAATGCTATAGTAAAACACTTTTTTCCAGAAGGGGGCAGTATCTTTCCTTTCCAGTAGGACAAGGCAAGAACATACTTCTACAGCCTCTACTAACTTGTGTTTTCTCTCACTTATCACACTCTGATGTTGCTTGGCCACACATGTCTTGGTTTTAATCTGTGCAATGTTGGAGGGCATGCCATACTTGCTGAAGTTTCATTCTTTTCACAATCCTCCTTTCAATGTCTGAAATTTAGTCATTATAATTGGAAATCTGATTCTGTTTTAACATAATTGATGGATTTTACTTAATTGTTTCACCCAATTAATTGTTTCAATTAGATATTTTGAGGGACTAGGACCTAATTGCTTTGAAAGTTATAAGCATTTCAGACACATTTAAGCACTCTGTTTATCCCTTAGAGGATGTTGGAATACAGGTTTGTTTAATTACAAACCTTCTCCATAGAAAAAACTATTGTTAAACCATCTTTCTGATATTTGCTGCTCTCTGCATCATGAACAAGTGTTTTGTTATATACACCTAA